AGCAGGAGAAAGAAGAGGTGAAGAACAAAGCAGAAGGAAATGGGATTGAGCAGTGGGAAGACAGTCGAAGTGATTTATTCCTGCTCCAAATACCTTTTAAAACCCAAATATAAATATCAATGCTTTTCTATCCATATTCCTGAAGAAATCTTGCGGAGCCTGGACAGTGGAATGATCTCTTGCACACTGTTGCGGGACCCAGGTGTGAGTTCCCTGGAACGTGTGCCAATACTGCTCTGGCCAGCCCTGCAGCACATGGAGCCAGCAGCAGAGCTTCTGCCCCAGCACTGCCTGGGCAGGTGACAGCACCAGAGACTTCCACAGATGTTACTGCTCTCCAAAAAGTTTTTAAAGGAGTATGGAAAAAAGATGCAGGTTTTTCTGTGGCTAAGTCAGGGTAATCTACAGGCAGCAACACTCTGTAGAGAGCTAGTACCCACTTCTCTTAGATGCTGAACCCTTAGTAATTCCTGCTACTTTCCCATAAATCAAAGTCTCTGAAAATGAAGGACTCACCATTAAAAACATTTTCAAATAATAAGGCAAAAAATTAAGCAAGCTTTTCTGGGACAAAACCCCAAAACAGTCTCCCAAGAAGATCCTAGAAGTGTTCTTTGGCATTAAGTGGTGAAATCTGTCGAAACACAGAGGGTGCAGACAGTGTTGGGGCTGGAGGAGAAAGGGATGACAGTGCCACGATGCACAGCTGTCTCCTTCTATTACCTCCCACTAGCAGAAGACAATCCTGAAAAGGCCCAGCTTTTCCTTCACAACTGAATCACAGAAACACAACGCGCTCTGCCATAGCCATTGACCTGCTCTCTGTATGCAGCCTACCTCTGAACAACACAGCAGGAGGGCTGTCTGGTGGCAGGGGTCTGCATGTTTGCCATTCTCATAGCCTCAGGAGCAAACACACAGACAACCAAAAATATCCTACAAGAGAATCCTCTTCAATTACAAAGCAAGAGACCATTACAGGATGGTGTCAATATGGAACATCTAAATGACTTACATATAAGTTATTTTAATTAGGGAAATAAAACAATCCATTAAAGATTAGCAGTGCAATGTTAATGTGATATAACGAGACAAAAAGAAGCAACTAAACACACAACAAAGTTAGGTCCTAACAGATAAACAAAGGAAAAGACAATCCATAATTTCAGTTTACCATGATATAGCTAGGCATTACACCAGAGCTCATACACAGAACTATTTGCAGTGTCAGTACAATCTTCTAATATCTATTTAAGGCATAAAGTAGTGATTAACAGAGAGAAGATTCTTAGTTGTTGCAAATCAGTGTAGCTTTAGTAGAAAGTCAACAGAACTATGTTAAATTACAGCAGCTGCGGACAGCATCTGAAAAAAGCATGGAGCTCCTAACGTGTGGTTGTGGTTATTTCAAAACAAGTCTGCAAAAGAAGATGCAAGAAACAGGACTGCATTTTACTATTTGATTTAAACTGAGGAGGTTTTAAAAGTGAGAATGTAAAAACAAAAAGCTGAGAAAGCAAACTTTTGGCAATGACATTTGACTTGTACAGCAACAACGGCAAAGGAGCTGCATTCCTTGTCCCGCACAAAAAGCAATAGGAATGATTAAGCTTTAAAACACATACATGTATACACAAGAACATATATATAATCATCCAGGAGCTCAGAACAATGTCAGGATCACAAATGTGTAAGGCAAATAAATACATTTAAAAGGTGCATCTGATACCATGTCAGGGAAGGTTCAAGATGAGGTTAAAACATTTCTAAAAGGGAGAGGATTCCCCTTCTCCAGCCAGTTGCGATATTTCGTTTTCCCAGAGCAATGGAGGTGAGGGGCACAATGATGTAGCACGCACAAGGGCACCCATCCTGTTAGCACACTTAGCAGTAAAAAAAGCCAATCTCTCAGCTCAGAAACTGGCATTTTGCACTTCAGAATACAATTTGCATGAAATTCCTCCTTCCTTTTACTGGTAAAGGCACTGGAAAAAGCTGGTGTTGCAAACAGAACATTGCAGCCATAGCAACAAGCAATTCAACACTTAAACTCTTCAAACAGGCTAAACAGTGTTTTCTTTCTGGTTTTATAATTTAATGGTCAATAATTCACCATGAGCACTTTACTTGTCTAGCTGGTCATTAATGTCTCAAAACCAATCTCCTGTTAAAGCTTCAACCAAGAAAAACTCCTCACCCAAAGGAAAATAAAAGTATATGTATACAGAGAGACCACTTCAAAAATTATTTTTTTTTTCTCCCTTTTTGGAAATTGGTATTGAAAGATGGAGAAATACCCAAGTTCTGGCCCATTAAATCAAGCACTAGCCCTTTTTTTTTTGTATTGTACACTATGAAATGTTACAAACAGGAAACCAAAAGCATCAAAATTGAGATTTAAAACACCTAACAACTTAGGCCATGCAACAGTATCTCTGACTAATGCCCAAACAGCACAAGCACTCCAGTGGGAAATCTCCTTGACTCTTTTCAATGACTGTGAGAAAATTTTTTTTTTATATTTTTTTATTGCTATCAGTAAAAAACCATTTGAAAACTAAAACAGAAGGCTAAAAACAGGATAAAACATTCTGCATCGTTGATGAAATTTAACCCTGTTAATTAGACAGCTTCATTTCAGTCAGTAAGAGTCTAATATTACCCTAATAAACGTATTAGGAACGTATTCCAAACGTATTGGAAACTGTCATGCATGAACATAACTAAAATCGTGCCTTTTTAAACTTTTAATGATATCAAATTTAATATCTGCAAAAGAAATCACTGTTCTCTCAAAGGCAAGAATTTGAGACATCTAGAACCTACTGACTAAAGCATAAGGCCAATGTAAAACTGTCAGTCTCTCCCAAGTAGACTAAATAATGCCCACATGAATTTTAATGCTCAACAAATGTGCTAATCTTAATGAACTAACTGAGGTAGGCAGTTACGGATCCAAAGCTTTCACTACCCTTTCCTATCTCTTGACCATTTTTATACTCCTTTACCACAGTGAAAAAAATGAATTTGAAGGAACCAGATAGCACAGACCCTTTGAGAGTTTCAGGGCCTTCCTTGCCACTACAGGTAACTTAATCACAGCATAACCCCACAATTCATGGATGTAGGCTTCATTGACTACTTTGTTGACCGTACAACTTGGCTGTGAACCCAACTTCGCTAGCAACACATGCTGATAAGCTCCATAAATGACAGTGAAGGACAGAGCATGAAACAGACACAGAAAAGTGTTTACACATTCAGGAGGAGCAGGGACCTTTTCCAATCCCTGTTTATTTGGATTATTTTTGAGAAGTAGCACTAATATCTATGGAGTTAATGTGTCATGTAAGAGACAGTTACTCAGCCTTATGATTTTTTTTAAGCCCTGCTGGTCACATAGTTGTTCTCTACTAAATTTTTTGTTTGTTCAAATGTTTTTTGAAATTCTCTTTCTACAAATCACAAGGTGAGGAACTAGGGAAAATACACTCCTTTTCAACTTCTTACAAATTCTAGGCTGTCTTGTGACCTGCCCTCCTGGATACTACGCAATCACAGCCTCACCCTGCACTCCAGGATTTACTGAGGATTTACAACCCAAATGGGGTTGGCTGGAAATCTTCCTAAGTATGTCCAGAGACATACATGTGTCACTGGGGGAGGACACTGTGCAAGTGGAAGTGTGAAGAAAGCGTGGAAGTGTGAAGAAATCATGGAAGTAAAATCCATTTAAAACTAAGAATTACTAGTAGGAAGTGATTGGTGACCCATCTATGGGGAAGTGTCTGGTGATCATGACAGGTCATGCAGCATTCTGTCTGATTTTTAAGCCCTGTACATAAGGCAGATCAAAGAGGTATGTGACAAGGGGGACCTGGTAAAACACAGGGGGTGTTGAAAGACTGTTGGGGTTTTTTGATAGGAAAAAGGAAAAACAACCTCTACGTTACACAAACAGGACTCCTGAAAAGCCACAGAAATATCCCATACTTACTTTTATCTTCCTGGTTTTCTTCTGCTGCTTTGCCTTCCTCTTCCTCCTCCTCCTCCACCTCCTTCTGCTGCACTTCTTCATGGTGATCGGCAGCACCGACTGAAAGGGTCTGGCAGCAGTGGTTGAAGCCGCTATCCCGAGGCAGAGTGAAACTTCGGGGCTTTCCCCCATTCCCATTCAGCACTTGCATCCGCTCACCCTCCACGAGGGGGAAGGGGCCGTAGTGGTCTTGCAGGTGGCACTTCTGGGTGGGCAAGGTTGACTGTCGCCGGTGCTCGGGGGAGACCACGGCCGCCTCAGAGAACACGGAGTCCTCCAGCGGCAGCGTCTGCAGGTAGTGGAGCCCTGAGCTTGTCAGCGGTGTTTCTATGAGGTCCTGCCAGGAGCGCCGCTGGCTTGCCGTCTTGCGCACCGGTGAGTCGGTGGCGCTCCCCGCCGCCTCCGGACGAAACTCCTCGTGTGATGACTGCGACTGAGAGGTCTCCGTGGACGAAAGTCGGCTGTGTTTTGGCTCCACGTAAGGGCTTGTGCAGCTCATCTACAACATCAGCAATGGAGTAAACTTCAGATCACTGTAGACCAAGACCTATTCCTACTAATAATCACGTATCTTCATTATCACTGACAGCACCCAGTTCAGTAATGAAGGCACAAACTTACCTGATCAACCTGCCCTGATCCTACTTTTAAGGCATGCCCATATCTACAAATGTCAAACACTGAAACTTATTCGTAATAAGTATCTTTATTATGTCCCTTAGTCTATTAAATAAGCCAAAACAATTATTTGCAGAAAACTTTGCAAGATATGGCACTGTGGAAGACATAGAAGAGATGTGCCTTGTCTATTAAAAATCTTAAAAATGCCATCCAAATGCCTGTTGTCATCCTATCTCGCTAAAATTTTTTTGGAATCATGTCTGTTGTGCTTCAGTGCAGTTCAAAGATCTACGATTTTGGAAGATAAAGTACTGCATTCAAATGAAACATCATGAAACCTCTCTTCCTCAGACTTTCCCAATTTTTAATTCCAAACTTTTTCAATTTAACAACTATATTCAAATAAGACACATTACTTAACACTGTTTGAGTACATGGACCTGAAAATCAAAATTGCCAGTACAGAGTAAGTAACAAGTCCATACTCTGGTTTTATACCAACAAAAGAAGAAAATAAAAAAACCTAATCCTCTTTTGGTCTCATTTATAGAGAAACCTACTTTTTTACAACAGAACAACTGGTACCACTGTTTGCTATACAAGACAGAACGTTTTTATGCCAGCATTTCTCTGAAAATTCAAGTGTGATTTGTGACTGGAAAGTTCCACAGCACAACTTTTGGAGCCTCAGAGAAGAATCTGTATTGTTACTGAGGTAACAACATTTTGTCAGAGAAGTTGATAAGGGGGTGGTGAAGGACTGCATGCATGAGTAGGGGTCTACCATGAATGAAGCACTGACTGAAAAAATATACTGGCGTGCACCCTAACATGCACATGCACATGTTTTTAAGCAGGAGAGTAGGTAAAAGTGACACTTTATGTAGTCATTCCTGTAGAAAGTTCTATGCAACTTACCGAAGGAGGTCGTGGGTATGTGTCGTACGGGGGTGGTGGGCTGTCTTGTTTGGGTGTTGATGGAGTGTCAGCTTCCTCCTTATCACTCTCACTCCAGTAATCTACAAGTTACACATAGATCAGATCAAAAACAACCAACACATTTTGACATGTCTGTGTATCAGAGACTTGCTTTCACAAAAGCAACTGGAAACTCCATCCTTGGTATTACTGAGAGTTAAATACTAGTGAATGTTGACTCTGTAAATGTTAGTTGCTGTAATTTGGAATTGTTTTAATCTAAAGAGGGACAATTCAAAGTGTTATGGGGTATACTAAGTCCAATGCCCCATTGCAGAGATATTAAACAACAACCTGCAAATGAGCCACAAAATTAACTCTTGTACACACCTTATAAATTCAACATACATACAGAATACTCCTAATACAAGTATCAGATTTTCAAATATTTATACAGCCATAAAAATATTATGATTGGACATATATTGGCTGGAAGATACTGAAAGTATTTTTTGAACAGAAAAGATTCAAAATATAATTTCTGAAGTCTTGTTGAGTGAAAATAACATTAACAAATGTAATTAACACCAACTGGCAAACTAAACAAGCAAGAGTTATTGCACACATGAATAATCAATGCTATTTTTCTTTCCATTTTCTCCATTGTATACTACCAGTTACCCAAGCTTTTCAATTCAATTTCTAATAACAAATAGTTGCATTTAAGAGAAGACAGAAAAACTTTATATCATATATCTGCTTCATAAAACAGCTGCTGCCCTGTTATCCAGGCAAGAACATAAAGGTAATATGGTAAGGAAAAATATGCCAATGACATTTAAGCATTCAGTTCCAAAAGACGGGTGAGAAAGTACAACGGATGCAAATCTTCTGGGCTAAATTTAATGGGATATGAGGTTTCATTTTGTTAGGAAAACAAGACTTGACCAAGCCCATTTCCAATGTTTGGTAGCATGGTCAAAGGGGAAAATACATGGAAGAATGTAGCACATGAGAATTTCTATTTATTCTGTTGCAAAAGTTTTTGAAGCAGAACAGCACCTAACTAAATGGACACTGGACCTTAATCCTTAGGAAAGAAAACTACTTAACTGCTGACTCATCTCAAGATGGACAACTTTAATGTTTCTACACATTGTAAGACTTAATGCAAACATTTCTCTTGTCACTTAGTTTCTGATTGCATATATATGTATATATACCTTCTAGTATATGTATATATATCTTCTAAATCATTGTACCACAGGACACTTTAGCTCAGACTATTCACAGACTAATCACAGGCAATTTTCACTTCGCCTAGTAAGAGTTCAATGAACTGCATGACTTACTACTTTGATAGATGAAGAGAAAAAGACTGATTGCTGCTTCACAAATGATCTAAACCAAAATCCAATCTGGCACAATATATAATTTTGGCTTTAATGATTTCTTCTTCCTATTATGATTATTGTATTGTATAATTAATGATCTTCTGTACCTAATCTTATTTAGGTTTTAAAACAAAAACTTACCTTTAAATGAAACCATCTTGAAAGAGTTGCCCCTAAAATTTTGTATATTTTTAGACTGAAGTAATAGTGGAGACAGCCTTATTTATCTATTTAATTTTTCTGAGCAGTAACAACTCTGTTTTAACTTGGATCTCTTGATTTGTTTCCTGCAAGCTTATAACTGAGAGATTCTCTTTAAATGGTATAAATAAATAGCATAAATGAAGTTTTCCTTATTATGAAATAAAAACTTCCAAACAGTTTCAACTCTAGAAATCTGCAAATAATTAATTTTCGGTGAACAAAAGACTAAATCAGTAAACCTCTTTTTTAAGTCACTCCTAGTTTTAAGAAAACTTGTTTCCAGCAACTTAACTCACCTGAAAATACTGGCACACAAACATGTTTGTTCCTATTACAGCAAAGCCTAATGGCACAACGTGTGGTGAAAGGCCTGTCAGAATTGCATCACTCAGTGAGATTTCTGCAGACTTGGAGCTTAACTGTTCATCCTGAAACTAAAATTTAGCAGCCTCTGTGCAAGTTCCAGTTTTGGCTAAAAATACAAAGATGTTCTTGCTATCAAATCCACATACAATAAAACACTGTGTGATTACACATTTGCGCACCTTACCTCAGACAGGGAAATCTGTTGGCAACCTACAGCTTGTCTAGAAAAATTCTGCAGTCACAGAGGTCAAGTTCCAAATTAAATGTATGAAAATAGCTTCCCACCAGTTTTTAAAAATGTTCTGCTTTTGGCAACTAACTCATTAGAGTCTATCTAAAATGTGTACAATGTTATCGAACAGTTGCTACATTTTTCTCTGCAGATTTTGTCCAATTCAGTGACAGACAAGCTGAATGCATCAGGCATATCTTGAAAGCTTTATGAATGAGCAATAGACTGCATATATTATATAAAAACTAACACTGACCTGCCATTTTCTGAATAAATATTTTTTATTTACATAAAGTAGTATTTTCTTAATCTGATTTTATATGACTGGAAACTACGTAACTTCTCCATCCAAGGAAGTGCTTTGCCATACTGGTAACGTTCACTGTATTTAATACAGAAACTTGATGATATTTTTATAAAACTGTTCCATACAGAATGTGACATTTTATTCAGCAGTACACCCACAATTTGGTGATTCGTGCATCTCTGAAGCACTTGAAATATATTTACGCACTTTAGATTCAGAACTACTCAACTTTTAATTGAAACAGTTTTGACAACTACTGTTGAACTGTTTCAGAGGTATTATAAAGCTTTGCAGCAAAGGGTTGAACTGAACAGAAATAAAAGACCTTTTGTAAAATCAAATATGTAGATGACAATTAGTACAGTCACTGAATATAGAAAAATCCAGCTTCACAGTTTTCATAATTGCAAAAATGCTTGAAGTGATAGAGAGGTTTTACTCTGCTAACTTGATGCCTCTGCTAATTAGGGACACTACTGAGCTGTTTAACAGCCCTTGTGCTGGGAGCCAAGGATAATCACTAGCGGCATAAAAACACTGTACAGCAGCGAGGGGGGAATGTGATACTGATTCTTCCACTAAACACAACCAAGCAACACAAAGGGGTTATAATTTTACCTACCTGTATACGGTAAATCAATTTGAGCTAATGGCGTTAGAGCAGTAATAAAGAGCTCTGTCAGCGCCTGGGATATTACTTCAATAGTAAGTCTCACTCTTCAATGGGGAGACATTTTAATAATAGGTAACATGAGGCCTGAATCCACATGATCCCATGTCTAGGAGCTGGATCATCTGCTATTTTATTACTCAGTGATTGCTTGGTAGCAAAAATATTTTTCCACATTCATCTGGACTTTGAAAGGTGCATCATGTCTGCAATTATGCACTTGGATAGTGTTAGCATAACTGTTCATACACCTTTCCCTTACTGTTCCACATGTTATTGTAATTCTAGTGCCAACCTGCTGTCAATAAAAGTTTGAATTTGACTTTGATGGCTAAGACAGAGGATTTCCTAGAAGACTCCAAGGTTCAGAGTTTTTTCACGGCTTCTTCAAGTAGTGACAGATGGTCAGGTCCCTCCAAACAGGTTATTGTAGTATTGCCTGGGGAGTACAGATCCCCAAACTGATTTGAAGTTTGGTGAGGCACTGAGAACATGACTAGAGGAACAGTGAGCATGGTGCTGCTATCCTGGGCTGTGTGAATGCAGAGAGCCTGGTGTTACAAATTACATGATGTGCCAAGGACTATATCAGAGAGTAGGCAATGCTCCCAGGATAAGCAGCTGCACTTACTGGAAGATATGATTAGAAATGAGGCCACAGCAGGTACAGTCTAGTTATGTGAAAAAACGACAGAAAGCCCAAAAACCTTCCCACACATGCTGCTACCATTGAATACGGCAGTATGCTGTAAGCCACTGCTCTTCAACACCAGGCTGATCCCTCTAGGATGTTCCCTGGTGAGGCAACCAGAGTATGAATCAAGGCAGACATAATTTTCTGATGCTGTCTTTTAATCTTCTACCACTACAGAATATCTCTTGATGCTTCTACCTGGCTGCCAAAGTCTCCCTTGCTTCTCATCAGGGAAAGGAGTTTTTTGTAGTGTCTCCCAGGAAAATGGCACTGCAGCAATACATTGCAGAGAGACAGACCACGTACATCTTCCTCTTCACAGTATCAGACCAGAAGGTCGGGCTAAGGCTGATGTCACATAGGTTGGTACAGACTGGGGGGTGAGGAGGACACCATGTGGCAAATTGTGAAGCTTAGTGACAGCCTTTTGAACACAACTTTCCCTGAAATGGTTAGAAATACAGTCTTTGTAAAAAAACCCTAGATTAAATATATTGCTGTTGCAGCTCCAAGCTATAAGCTTTTTGGGTCAAAAGACAGAACCTTACTGATGAAGGCTGCAGGGCCACAGAATTAAAAAGTGAGGTTTTGACTCAGTGGGCAGTAGGCAGACAGGCATCTGGATAAGCTCTGGATCATCACGACCACTGCAATTTTCTGGTGCCTGCTGCCAGGTACATCTGTAAAAAAGAGCATGTATTCAAAAGCCAGCTGCTTGACAAAACAGTTAGCTGAACAGGAACACTTCTGTAGGTCCATGTCACTGGCAATTCTAGGACTCCCCAATGCAATTGAGGACTGCCCCTTTCTTTTTCCTGTCTGCAAACAGGATTCCTACTGCATCAGACTAAAGGAAAGTGAGTCCTTATTTTATATATGCCGCTTTTTTAAACCCATGAACTATTAGACATTAAAAATAAACAGATGTAAAATGCTGTAAACCTGGAACTTCAAATTAAATGCCAACAGGGTTTTAGCACATACCTCAATATAGCAAAAAAAAAAGTAGAAATCACAAAAAACTACACCCTTCTCAGAAATAATCCAAGCATTTGTGGACCAGAATCTGAAGGAGCTAATCAAGACCCCTGAGAGAGAAGGAATTTTCTAAAGCAACAACAGTCATAGTCATATGTAAATTGCTCTCAGATGATGAGAATGAGGCCTGATACACAGCAGGGAAAAAAGAACAGATGAACTTGTGATAAGAGCTGACAGAAGAAACCAAAATAACAACACATTACCTTGCTCTTGTTTGATCCTCTCTCTTTCTGCATAGCCAGCAGCAAGCATGTTAATTCTGTTTAGCCATCTGAAATAATATTAAAAAAGCAGTGATACTGATCCAGCCTCTTAATTTTTGGATGCATTTCTACAAAAAACAAAGTTAGGAGCATCTGAAGGAGATTTTGGACAATGTTATTTTTCATATTAGACAGCTGTTTTCTTTGATACTCTTACTCAGGGAGTCTCCAAAGATCTATGATTTTGCTGTTGAACAAATTGTTTTCACAGCAAAAAGTCTATTTCAAATGAAAAACCATGCATGATGTCAAACATCTCTAAAATAAAGGATCTGGAGATAATCAAAGAGCTATTAAGTCTGCTGCTCACAGATACGCCATCACACCAATACTCCTGCTGTTCTGATTTATTAAGAATAAACACCACTTTTCAGAGATTTAAGCAATATTTCAAGGCTTGAATTGTCAACTTAGCAGAGGAACAGAGCAGAAACCAGCAGTCAAAAGAACAGGTTCACTCCCAAATAGACAGTGAGGTTTAATTATGCTATTATGTGTTTTAGAGATTACCTACAGTGTCAAGTACAAAGAGAAGGAGGCATATCAGAATTCATTTTTGTGTTCATGTCAGAGTAGCAGGAGGAGAAAAGACAGTTGCCTCAATGTAATTCACATTTAAGGCTTTAACCTCAACTTAGACTTTAAAAAATGCTTCTACAAGCATCACAAATTAAAAAAACCCAGAACAACAAAAAACCAACAACAACCCAAACTATTGCTATTCTTTTCTAGCAGGGCTATAATTTCTAAGCATACACTCAACTGCCTGCAGTAGTGGACTGCTTCAACCTGTTCTTTTCCCCCAAGGGGGTCCCAATATCTTCATTATCCAAATGCTTACACTAAATCAGGTCTTCCTTCAGTGAGGCTTTAAACCACCATGACAGTCTCTCATCGTTTTCTATTCCATGGTAAACCTGGAATTACTTGCTCCAGTCATCCTGTAGCCAGGATTTGACAGGCCTGGTTTGCCAACCTACTGGCATGCAATTTACTGCTAGTGTACACAGACAGCTGAAGTCAGTTTTGCATTTTCTTCAGGAATGTGAAACCCCTGTTTCAGAAAACTGTGCCTGATGGGTTTCATTTGCATACTGTATGCAAGGAAACAGGACTTAGCATTGTCTCAGCAAGGGGATACCTTTGTAATCACTCCATGCATGTCCTTCATGACATTTCAGTGCAGGGTAAGCAGGTTCAGAGCATAAAATACAGTTGCTCTCCTCGAAATTAACTCCTGTCACTGTCCTTCCACAAATGGTGACCACATGTATGATCTGTAAATCACATTAATGGTCCATAAATCATTGCACATTGGGAAGACAGCTAGAGATTTACTCCTGAAGTGATTCCAGAATACTTCATGTTAGCATACAATCAAAATTTCTGCTAAAAGAATAGGGAAGCTGAAGAAGAGACTTAAAATTTCAGTTGCAATTGTTAGGAAGTGCCATATACTTATAAAAATAACTGGCACATAGAACAGCAATCCAACAAATCATGTCTCAGACAATGATTTCACATCTTCACAGCAGAAAGGCGACCCACTATAAAGCTATCTTTTAGGTTCATATTTCTGATATGTGAAGGCTTTCTTTGGGGAATAAAGCTCAGCTATCTCGACAGCTCTGTCAGCCCAAATCAGAGGCACTGAGGCAGGAACCTCACTCGAAGCACTCTAGCCTCGTGCTGCTGAGGGACCAGCAAAGGCCACGGACTTGTTTGTGTCCAAAGGGTAAAGCAGCACAAGAAGACAAGCTCCTGCTCTGTCAAATGGCATGGCAGACAGTGGAGGTGGCCCTTCTCTTGCCTCTCGCTTATTTTGGATTTCACGTTCCCAATTCAGCTTACCACCCCCCAGCACAGCCAGCAGGGAACAAGCACCCAGGAAATGCATAGCAGTCAGAGAGAGAGGCAGACTGACTTCACATTTAATGATTTTCTGCAGGTGATGATCTGTGGCACGGTTTGGAATACCACCTGCAATGCCTCTGGTGTGAGTCCACAGGTCCTGATGTGGTTGTAAACAGTTAGCAAACACAGCTTTTGAACAGTTTGCCAAGTTAGAAATGAAAATAATGGTAATGATTACTTCTGCATGTTTTCTGATATGTGGCTGCTAAAGCTTCTTCAGATATGGTTAGAATGGGTATGGTTTAGAGAATTAATATTATTTAAATAAAGCACGACTAGAGTTATGGTTCATTGAAGTTAGAATCATGAGAAATCCAACACACTGGGCTTGTATCACAGGGAAATGTAAAGATCTCCTGCAGAACGAGTAAAACATGCCTGCTTTATAAAGCACTGGGGACAAAAGTTCCAAGTGTACAGTTATACAAATATTCCTTACTATGAATATTAAAAGATACAAAGCCTGAGGACATGAGAAGTTTTAAATCTTTCTTCCCTGTAGTGTGTTGTGTCCTGGTAGCCACTGTAACTTTTAGAGGGCAAGAGGCCAAGAAAATATTCCTTCCTTACTGTAAATGCAGTTTAATTTTCTTTTGAGAATTATAAAATCTATTTGTTAGCTATGACAGTAAATATAATAGCAGTGGTCGTTGCAGAAGTCATCTAGGTTTTCTTTTTAAGAATAGCACATATATTTCTTGCCAGTGTTTAATTAAAACAATTTTATGACACATAGAACAAGATTAAAAAAAACAGTCTTTTTGTAGGCTTGTAACTTCTGTGAAGTAGAGTGCACAGTACCGGCAGTCTCACCAAACAGCAGGAAACATTTTTCTGTCTTATCTCACACTCCAGGTAGACGCAATGCTTTTAGTCAAAGTAGGGTGTCAAATCATCCTTAATCATAAAGCTCGAGGACAAAGGACAGGCTTGCTATATATACAGGAATATGGATACCTTACAGTGTCTATAAGGACCCAACTGCAATTTAACCAGAATGAAGAGGCCTGTACATGATGCAGAATTTTTAGAGGTCTTCTTCACTGAAATCTTCCAGAGACATTCTCATGTGCTAACACTACAAGCTAACTTGTCATCTTTCCTCTTGGTCATAGCGCTACACTAAGGAAGAAAACTCTTATAATGTCAATAATCAATGTCACAAAAAAGAGAAAAAGGACAGCTCAGCTACAGCAGGCCAAAGAAGTTCTCAAACAAATATTCCACATGAAGTTATTTCCCTGCCTAGAAGATATAATTTTGGCAGCCATACATGTCATCAATTAAAAAATAGACAGTTTGTAATAAAAAGGAAGAATAAGAGTATTGTATGTGTTTAAGTCAGCCAACCCTGAAAAGGATGCATTTGCCTCTGTGTTGATGATCAGGGTTTTTGTGTAAAGAAAAAATAGCCCATAAAGCAGCAGACACAGTTACCATGGAAAATAAAAAGAAAGTTGCATATAGTATCATCAAGTATAAATATACGGGCTGCCTTCTACATCAGAATATTTTCTGGAATGAGAATAACAATGAATTTCCAGGCAAGACGTTTCTATGAATATACACTTACATTAGCAGAACAGTACTTTGCATCAATAAAGGATATTCTGTCCTTCTTCTCACCTAGACTAAGCATGTCATATGGGCAGAAAGAACACTTTTGCTGGTGCAATCATGTGGATCAAAGGAAATTCAGACACCTCAATAAAGTTCAGTGTTCATAGTTCTCCAGACTCCTTACCAACATAATGGTGTGGCACAGTCATAAAAGTAGTAAGAAAATTTGAATAGTGACAGTTACCTGAGATTAAAATACCCATTTTATGTGAGTAGATACACATAAACAAAAACTTCATATCCTACATGCAGTTTTTGTTTAAAAACTAACTAAATCATTTTATACAAGGGACAAAGGAATTGAACCATTCCGAACTTTCAGTTAAGCTACATATTAGCATTTTTCTACTTTTGTTTCTTCTGCTTCAAGTATAAATGGAACTGAAATGATTGCATGATACGTAATTAAAATGTATGTCAGAAACTTGACAAAAAAAAAGAACAGAAATTGATAAAAACAGTCTTAATTTAATAACTTGATTCTGTGTTTGACTCCAGCTAGGCTAAAAAATGCTTTTATACAGGAAGCACTTTATTATCTCTGCATTTGAAATATTATTTTTTAGTAACCTGCTTTTTTTCAATATATTCAGTTAATCCAATGTTTGTGAAAGTGAACTACTTTTTCTAATACATTAAACAAAGAGAAAAAATAAAATTATTTAGTGAGACACTGATGGCAACTCAGATGTAAGAATTTCAAGTAATTCCGCAGACCTTTAAAGAGTTGTTTTAAATTTACATGTGTATAACTCAGATCAAAATTTGGTCAAGCTCATTCTAAGCATTTATTTCAAAATAAGATTAAAAGATTATTTGTGCTAGGAAGTTAAAAATCTTTTTAGTTTTGGGGTTTTAGACTGTGCAATATGTTTTTAAAGTATTGATGCATATTTGCTGCTGCTTCCTGATTACTGAACAGTTATATAAATTTTTATCCTTAGAACCAAGGTGCCTTGTCATACTGACTGAGGACCTGCTGGCAGAAATGATTTATCTACTGCTGTAGTTCAGAATATGCTGAATAGACCAGGCCATTATTCTGTTTGCAGCAAATTGCATTTTGAGTGACTGACTTGACAGAATTATCAAGGAAAGGCAAGCCTAATATTTTACAAACAAATAAAAAGGTTTTAAGTCTTCCAACTGAGGAGAGACTTTTGAAGTGAGCCTCAGTCATGCAGGAACTTTTGAAAAAATGTTAACAGATAGCTCTTTCTAACTGAAAGCAAGTACAGGATAGCATTGGCATACTCTTCCAGTCAAATATTATCAGTAAAGAACTGGCAGTACCCTGAAAATGCTCTGCCAGGTACCTGAATCTAGTACACACAGGAGAGATTAAACCATGATTATAGCACTTACTAACAGTTTTATGGATTTAGTTTTATCTCCTCTTTCCTCTGTTTTAAAAGCAATTTTGCTCAGTGATGATGTCCACAGACATTATCGAAGACAGAACAATTCTCAGGTTGCAGAGTTTTGCTTGTGTTCTCTATCGTATGATGAAAATGGCGTTATTATTTTGAATGAAATTAATTTCAGTTTATGTTGTACAAATAAACAAAATAAAACCCCAAATATTTGAACAGACATGAGATCCATGTTTTCAATTTACCACTCAAATGAATTAAGATGAATTGTGTTTATTTTGTGCTGAAGTCTCAATCATTTTTTCTGAAAAAATCGCACGAGTGGCCTAAAATAAGTACAGTAAAGCTCAATACCCGACAAACTAAGACTTAAGTCCTTGCTCTTTTTGAGTTGATGAGATTTTCCCCACTAAATTCAAGACAGACAAAATTTCACTTCAACATGTAAGTTAATTTCACGGCAGTAGAGAGAATCTGCAAAATTAATTCCTGTAATCTCTACCTCCTTTTTCAAGACTGGTAGAATTAAAATCAGTGATGGCTTTAAATCTTTCTCCAACTTCTCATTCCCTCCACGGCCAGAAATAGAAGCTTTTCCAGAGCAAGCACCTCATATCTTTAGGAGTATGTTAGGAAGCAGAGTTGGAGATATTGCATGTTTCCAGGTGCTGCACAGCCAAAAGCAGCTTTACAGAAACCTGGAATTCTGAAATTGCATTTTGATGTTGCTTCACATACTGTATTTGTTTCTTTTTAGAAAGAGGGAATTTTGTTTCTAAAAATCTTCAAACTTTAAAAAAAAAAAAAAAATTTGCTTGAATTGAATATCTATCATATGCAGCCACTCAGAAACAATGCTACTCTGCACTTATTTTCTCAGCTATTAAACTCAACTTTTTAGATTAACACATAATTTACTGTCACTGTGTTATTACCAGCTTCGCGAAGTGTTACATTTAAAGAATGGTTCCTTGAACTTTGCTAGATTTCCTTACCTGTTCATATCATCTAGATGTTCAGCAGCAAAATAAAAACTTTTGATCTTAGGATGGCAGGCTTTGAATGCACTGTAGAGGAAAAATATAATTATAAAAATGTAATGGCACAATTCTTTTTTTTTTTTTTTTTAAAGTAAGACAGCATGGTCACCAAGGAATGAGGTGAATTCAGATTTCTTGAGTTGCTGGATGCCCCCAAACAGTACATAAATATACAACTTTTAGGATTGTGCCAGATTTCACCAAGTCAAGTTCTCTTCAACTACCCCTTTCTAAATAATGCTTGATTCATATCTGCATAAATATTGTTCAACAATCACCTGCAATGTACTATATTTGGATAAAGTTAACCAGTTAAGGATACAATTTTATGTATCAGGTAATTTTGCTGATATACCTTTAAGTGTCATTTTTTTCTGAACAGAGAATTGATTGAACAATTTATTCAATACAACAGAAAAACTCTCAGTCCTGGTGATTTCTCACATCCTAATGACCTTGACATTACCTTTAGCTCTAATGACTGCATTTCAAACAGAAAAATGTGATGCACTGATTGACTTCTGAAAAGCTGTTATAAATCAACATTGTGTTCTTGAGGTCATTCTAAGCAATGGGCAATTACATTTCATCTTTTCTTTCCACCAAAGTAATCAACATGACTGGTCTGAGAGAATTACTGTATTTCATACATAATATGAAATAAATTACTAGAAAAAAAATTTTAACTATGTTGGATAAAGATTTATGGTGAAGTACTTGAAGATACAGAAAATGCATCTGAAAATAATTAATAATTTACAGTATAGAATAATAATTTTTGAGAATAGCCTGAAGTTGTCTCTTAAAATAAGAAAAAAAAAAAAAAGAGCGTATCAGTTCCAAAGAAAATAAGGGAAACAGCAAACATGATATATGAAGAACATCATCACCATTTTTTCTGAGACACGATGGATTTTATATATACACATGTAAAGATATATATAATATAATAAAATAATTCTCACTCTCTCTAATCCATTGTGTCTCAGAAAAACAGTAATTATGTTCTTCATGCGTATTGAGCTTGTAATTTTCAATATATGTGCCTGTGTGTGGACATATATTTAAACATATGAAAATAGGTTTTAATAAATCAGGGATATGAAATTGATGTCCAGGAAAGTTACTGCTGGTGAAGGTAACATAAAATTGAGACAAAGAGAATTCCTCTAATGCATTAGAGCATGACACAATGTTATGCACGTGAAAGCAGATGTACAGTGACATCTGCTCAGTTAACACAATGTTATGCACGTGAAAGCGAAAGCAGATGTACAGTGACATCTGCTCAGTTTAGAAAGACATCATCAAGTTACTGAGACCCAAAATTTGACTTCTTAAAATTGTTACAGCATCTGCCATCTAGATTCTTAGAGATTTTTTATTTATCTAGCACCCAAGTAAGGAATTTTAATAGCCACTTTTACATTCCACTATCCAGTAGATACCAAATCAAGTAAAAAAGACAATTTCAGCAGGTTGTTCTTCTGAGACATGAGTTGACTTTATGCTGCTGCCCCAACAAAAAAGAAAAAAGTAAGCACTTCAGCAATGCAGCCCAAAGACAGGACAATAAGCCCAAGCTCCTGTTTTGTTTTGGTTTTTTTTTTTTTTTTTTTTTAATACAGTTTTCATTTTCTGCCCTTTGAGACCTTAATGAAGATCAGAGTTCCTCCTGAAGAGATATATGGATCAACTGATACAATGTCAGTGTGTTCTTTAGAAATGTATGTACTACAAATCATACCATTTTACTTTTGCAATTGCTTTTCTGTATAAATTTCAGTGGTTCCACAGCCTTGATAAACTTAAAAAACAGCCAAAACCATTAGAAGGCAAGGCAAAAAGCTTTCAACAACATGAGTATAAAAATACCTCTGTGGGAGCATGCACTTCTCACATTGCTATATTTGCTTGAATTTGCATCTGAATAAACGGCACAAATCTGGGCAGCAGCACAGACAGCGAGGCAGGAAGAAAAGTTACTTGAGACCTTTAGGTCATATCTCAAAATACAGCCAATCACCGTCATTCTCTTTTTTCACTTTGCCTCAGGACTGATACACTGTGTTAGCAAACTTTGAGATCACGCTAACTAATTTGGAGTCACATTAAAGATTGATGCCTGTCCATGAACTTGGGAACTTTTATTGGATGGCCTTTTTATTATGTTTAAAGCTTTTTATTGAGCTTAAAGGTATCACACACACATATTCCAATCCCCAACAAACAAACAAACAACCCTCCCCAAAACAGAAAGGAAGCAAAAGAAGAAAGGAAAACTGGGAAAATAAAGGCACAGAAGCAGCCAAGCAGTCTTCTTGCTCTTAATTCATTTTTCTCTAGTCAAGCACTGTGATTCATGATAAAATAAAAAAAGCCTTCTTCAGGAAAGATGGCACACTGAAACCACACTGATTTTGCCTGTTCTGTATGAGCTTATTCTGTGATATAATCAAATGATCATTGTAACGAAATCCAGTATGTCACTGTTTTAAGGGAAACACCTGTCCTTTGTTCCACTTTTTCTATTGTATCACTGCAATATTTTTGAGCATACTTACTATTTCTTGCGGCATTCACTGGCTCTGTCAATTTTAAATTCAGGTAGACTGATGAATCCTTCTGCTTTTTCATCCTGCAAATATATTTCTAGATATTACTGTTGTTAAAAGTGTGAGAAAAAAAATCCCACCACACTGAAAACTTAAAGATATTTTCACTTGCCTGCTTCTTTACATAAGGAATACTAATGTATGTGCTGCTCTGGCAAGCCTCCCACAGAAGTCACTGGGACTTTTGCCAAAATAGTGAGACAGATCCCTTGGTGAAAAATACAATTTAAATACCGAGTTTTCTCAAACAACTTCACAGCTGAACCAGCATTTGAAAATATACAAAATGACCAAATGTATTCAGGCAATTAGTTATTGTAATTAGTTAATTTGGGGGGAAGATGGACTAATTAGTAAGAAGAAATGCAGCCTCCTGGAAAAAAATAGGGGAAAAAAGCAATTTAAATATGTGCTGTTTACCGTCTTTATATGATATCACAGCTGAGGCATGATATCTCTTCAGCTACTTTCATCTCTCTGCAACACTCAAGAGAGAAGACATCTGACCTTCCTCCCCTCTCCTCTAAAGACTTGCACATAGTTTATTTTATCAGATATTCAATCATCCCCTTTGACTTTTCACATTTTGAAAGCAGTATTTATTTTAAGCCACTAATACATTAACAACACAAACTCTTAATTAACTGCTCCTAACTTTGCATAAGAAATTAATATATGATCATGAAAGCGAAGCTGCAGAAAACACAAATGTATGTTAAGGAATTCCAAAGAATTACTTTTTTTTTCCTCAGAATCTCCATGGTTATTTATGCTACATATGCAGTCCATATGACTATATGCTTTCTTAAAAATAAATAAACAAAAAGCACAAATCAGCATATAAAACTGTAACTAGAGTTGTTCTGTGGAAGGTACAAGGCTGTAACAAGTTCTGCATTAGTAGGTAATTTAAAATTGAAAGGACACTGTTTAGAATAATCTTGCCATTTTCTTTCTGCATGGTTGCCTAAGGAAATAAAATTTTGGCAAGAGCGTTGTTTGCTTGTGTGTCCCTCTGCCATTGAGGCTCCCTCCACCAGCTTTTGAATCTATTGGTGATTGCAGACACTTTGGTGAGGGAGCTGAGGTCTCTAAAATAACCAAGAATCTCAGCAACTGTCAGGGCAACTTGGGATAGCGGGAGACACAGGCACTCAGACCACTGCCCTCTCCATGGGAAAGCAAGGCACAACTCAGCAGTTCCACAGGCTCCTTGGCCACAGCTGGTGACCAGTCATTGTACTTGCAGATATGAATTATCACTGTCACGAAGACCTCGCAGTAGACCTTGAGGAGGGAGGGTGGAGAGGAGGGACTTAGGATTACTGATCTGAAGCTAGGATCAAGGCACAAATGGGATGAGTCTGTGGGAAATAAGCTTTGGTAACTCTGTTCATGGAACAAGTTACTGTATGTCTACACAGGGAAAAGCTGGGTATCACAGTATTTTCAAAAGGTTATGTTTGAATGCTTGCAGTGATTAAAAGAACAAGTACAGGACTGAATGCATCCACATATTGGCAATGATTTTACCTCAGGATATTCATAAATGAGACTAATAGGGTTTAAAATTAAGGTTTCCTAACTCACTGGCAAAAAGCTTTTTTGCTAAAGCTGATATAAATAAATGTAAACTAACACAGAACATGCACAGGTAAAGCTGTACACAGTTCATTTGGGCTACTCTGGCATTTTTAAGTTCAGCATATATGAGCACTGAAATCATATAAAAACCTACAAAAATTGAATGATAGTTGAATACAACTGAGAAAACAAAAGCATCTTCCTTAACTGTTTTGGTGATTTCACTAGCACAGATAAACAAGGAACACCAAGCACATCATTTAAGTTTACATTCTCATGACTAAACTGGAATTAAAGGATTAAATAACTACCTTTTCCCTTTCAAGGGTTTAAGGATAGATTTATTCTGAAGTGGTGAGGGTGGGACACAGGAAAGTGTGTTATTTCTCCTTGTAGTAAAAGGTGAATTTGAAGGACCAAATATCTCCAGAACTTAATGGTAATTTAGTCAGGCAGTTAATATTAATTTCAGCATGGATTATTTGGGTGAATAAAGTTATTCACATATATAAGCACTCAAAGCACTGGCTTCCAACTAAATCATGACAAGAGCACTACAAAGGGTATTTGTTGAGACAATAAGCACAGATGCTTACCTCTTCATTGATATACCAATATAGAGATGTGTCCTTCAGGACAAACCAGTATTTTTTCCATTTCTGGGAGAAGTAACTCTTGGCATCTTTCTTTTTCCAAAGCCAGCCTTCACAGTCCCCTCGACCAAGATCTTTGCATGAGATCCGTCTTTTGCTTTTACCAGGAATAGGAGCTGAAAATGACAACAAGTTGATGTGAAAGCGTTTAACTTGTCCATTAAATCAACAAGAGAGCTAACCAACAAGCACTATATATTTGCTTAAGAAAACTAATTAAAAACCTCAACCTCAATTTGCCATGAATAAATTACTATTAATATCTATTTTGACCACAAAGTCTATAGAAGGCACCATAAGTTAAAAACCAAAACAAACTAAAACAAACCATGTTCAGCACCTCAAAGAGCTCATATTCTATGGGTAAGACAAAAAAAAAAAAAAAAAAAAACAACAACAAAAAAGAACACAGAAAGAGAAGACATTATAGAGAAAAGAAAGGTAAATATTTAAAAGTAAGAAAATTGGTTAATTTTTATTTTCAAAAAATTAATATTTTACATCAGCTTAAAGAATAGAGAATATAAATTCATGTACTTTCACACTTGGCTGACAAATACAACTACGTAAGTACTTCACTGGTATTCAAAAATTTCTCTTTGCAGCTCCTTTTGCAACTAAACAGTTCCTAAGCCCTTTGTACTTCTAAATCAAAGGAGGACAATTTACTTTGGTATAAATTACCTGACAGCTTAGGTAATGAGCAAGGGCTGCAGTAAGGCATTACATGCACACAGCTGGAAGAACCAGCCGTGGCCCCAAAGAGGCAAGAGTCTAAGTACTGAAAAAAAACCCTAAACAACCCAACAGCAGATACATGCAGGCAGAGGAGCATTAGGAAACTATGAGACATCAGTAATGGACTAACACCTTCTCAACATTGGACTGGAGCTAACAAGTTCTATACTGCAAGACCATAAACATTAATGCTGGCAATTCCCTTCCTACCAATACATGAAAACAAATTTAATTTTTACCTTTGTTCTTCTTTTTGCTTTTCTGCTGTAGAGAAGACTGCTGAAATGTCTACAAGAAAATCAAAATGGGAGAAGTGAAAATACATGATTTATATTCAACCACATCCTTATAATAAAAGAGCGTAACGTTGCAAACACTGAAGTCATCACCAGGTAAAGCCAACAGACTTCTAGGCCTAAGAAGAAAAGTAATTTAATTTATCTGTTCATAAGGTTGTAAAGCAAAAGCATACAGTGAAACATCTTAAAATAGACTGCAAATTAGTTTGCCAAAACAACTGAAGTTTATCTCTAAAATGGTCGGTCTCTTCTCATTCTGTTAATGAGGAAGGAATGTCTCCCTTTAGTTAGTATGATAGTGAAACTACACAGCCCATGCATTTCTTATACATCACCTAATTAAGATCTTCCTGACATAAATCTTCAAATATGCAAATTACCACACTGCCCAATGCAGGTGTGAAGGCATTTATATGATGGTTTTTAGAACATCAGACAACTTGCTCAGAAATGGGCCTAATGTTTTTAAAGACACCAATAAAATTCTGTTAAATCACAACTGGGAAAAAGTCTCCCAAATAAATATTCTGAAATAGAAAACACTTTATTTTTTACCAGGTTTTGACTGAAAGAATTTCCCTCCAGTTGAACCACTCCCATGAACCAACCCATTGCCTAGGCAATGAGACAGGATGGAAATTATTCCTTTACTTAAGATCCTAGCTTATTAAAAATAGCAATACGTATTAGCACATGTTGCGGTCATTTCTGTTAAAAAACTTTGATTCAGATAATATCACCATCACTCTAGTGAATTAAAAAAAAGTTCTGTAATTAATAATTCCAAAATTTAAAGGCATGATTTTAGTTGTTCTAAACTTTAGTTTTCTGCATAGATAGACAAATGTATTAGTGCTGAAACAAAGAAAAGGCCACATTAGAGTGTCTGAGTATTAAAACCTCTTATTTCAGCTTACCATAAATCATGACCAAAATCAAAGCTTTCGTACCACTTGATAAAAGTAAATCTAAACAAAAGCACTAACAGCCCTGTAAGACCAAATCCTGTTCCTGGCAGATAAGACAAACTCTCACCTCATCTTACAAGGCTCCCTTTCCAATTCAAAAAGCTGTTTTTCTTTTCATTTTTTCTTCTGTGCTTCCCATACACCTGAGCTCACATGCAGGAAGCTGAGGCTCAGCTTCTAAGGCATGTCTCGCTTCATAGCTGAGACATTCTCAGGTACCAAATGCTAACATGTCCATGGGGATAAATTACCACTAATACTATGATAATTAAGTGTAATATAAAAAAATTAACTGACTCGGTAGATGTGCTGATCCCCCATAGACTGCATTTGAAGAAAGCTACTCAACTGTATTACCACCTCAGATGGTTAAAAGAGGTCTCCACTGGGAAGAAAAAAGGAGCCCATTTGTTTTCATTCCCCAGCTCTTGTCCTTTTTCTTCTGCTAATGGTATCAATTCAATCACCACCAGGTCTCAGCAAGCCAAGACAGCAACACCATCCCAACTTACATCACATTAAGTCTTCTGGCCTGCGTAGGACTAAATGAGATCTTTACATCCCAGGAATAACAGAGCGGCTGGGCAGAATTGTGTGAATAACTCCCTCTTAGATGCTTTGAAAATCTCACCTAATTCAAAGTGGTTGAAAAAACATAACACATGCACAGTCCCAAAACTTTAGCACTTCTCAGTTCACAACCCAGACAATTTAATTCTGCTGCTTGACTTTTCTGCACTAGTATTTTCACAGTGCCAAAACAAAGGAAAACCTCCGCTTGGTTTTCTTATAAGCGATTCTGAAAGCAGATGAGAAAAGTATGAAAAACCTTCTCTTTAAATGTTTCACCTGTAAATCGAACCTGCAAATATGAGCGCACACCTCTCAACTTCTGAGTCAGTTTTTGGGAAGAAAGGGTCACGAAGGGGTATCAGTTTTTAATAGGAAGACAGCAGGTAATTTAGACATCTAGCCATTTTTCCATACATTATGTTTTGTCCTTTGCAAAAACAGTACCAGGTTTTGTTTTTTTTTTTACACAGAAGATGTAAAAGCAGTATGCACTAGTCGGTGCCATTCAGTTTCTAAATCACATGATTAAAAAAAAACCCAAGTGAGGATGAAAAAAACCCAAGTGAGGATGAAATCTAAAAATCTTCTTCTGTTGCTTTTTTAAGGAAATCATCAAATGCAATCTGAAGCCTCCTCCCAGTTATTAGATAATGCTTAATGCCATTTTCTCAGTGCTGTTTAGAATCACTCAATGATGAAGGAAGTCATGCCCTTCCTCCTGCTCAGAGCAAGGCTTGCTTTGAAGCCAATGCCGGATCATTTTCTTCAGGGTCATCTCCAGCCTAGATTAAACTATCTCCAAAGATGGAGATTCCACAACCTCTTTAAGCAACCTGCCCTAATGCTGGCCACCACAATTTTTCCACTTTTACAGCTTAATTCTGTGATGTGGCCAATATGGAAATAATATAAATAATTATTTTTAATGCCACAAACCCTAAAAATATGGATTCACATCAAAACTAGAAATTTAGTTGTACTAGAGCAAGTTTGCTGCAAGATACCCACCCACGAGGCCTGATTTCAAATATGTTCACTGCATTTTGATTCTGATACATCTTGAGCTTTGAGCAACTGCTTTCACATACGTCTTGTCCCAGTTTCCAAGAATTTATCTCTCCCACTAATTCTGAAAGCAAGCATGAAATGAAATAGAAAACAGTTCTCTATATTAAAGAGAGATGTTAGTAAGTGAAAATAATAAATAAAATGGAAACAAGATTGCCACTGAAAAGATGAAATAGATTAACAACTTAACCCAAGTGGAATTTGCCACTCCTGAAGAAAGTTTTAAGCTGTTTAATCATATTCTGAATTATATGCTTTCAAGTTGCCCAAAATACAACTAGCAAAACTTTCCATTTTCCAAAAGCACGGTGTTACTTGATGTTTAACATACAGCAAAACTCCCTTGAATACCCTGAGCATCAGGTTTTTTTGAATGCAATAATTTTCTCCTGTAATATGTGATGTTTGAGCTTGTCATATTTAATAGTATACCTAAACTAAGCCTTCTGACAAATGCATGTCTAAGTAGAATATCAAATAAATATTTTAGTTATAGATATGTCTGCCTTTGCTATCAGTGGCCTCGAAAGCACATGTATTAAAAGAGGAACAAAACATCATTTATTAGATAGATTTTCTGATATATTTCTGGGTTTTTTAACAAAAGTGCTAGCCTACCTCTAGCCCTACCTTTCTGAAGGCTTAGCTGCACATCCCACCAGCCAATGGAGACTTCATTGTGCATGGAAGAGCCATAACAGTTTCTCTCTTCCTGCAACTGTTCATTACCAAGCTTGTTATGTGGGTTATATTTACTTCCACACTCTTCAAAATGATTGACAGAGTTCTGAAAGCCCATCAGAAGACTGCACAGCTGTAAACAGCAATTTGCCCTAGGGTTTGCCTTTCCATGCTTTTAGGATTACAGCACAATAATACAGCTACATAGTAAAAAATTTCCAGGTGGAGGCTCACACTAACAAAAGAGGTCACCAAGGAGCTGTATTTGTTCCTTTATGTGTTCCAATAATCACATATAGTTGGTATAATCAGCAATATCTGCATGCATACAATCACACATCAGCATCTTTGTATGTAAAACACAGAATTTTCAAGAAATTAGACTATCAGGTTTTTCTCTCATCTTCAGAGTTATTCAGGTTTCTGTCTGCTTTTGGCTCTTGGGATAAAGTATCCATTCTTGGTTAGTACCACACCTTCTGCAGATTTGCTCAGAAGGGAAGCAAGATTGAAAGTTAGTCATTAACATTCAGAAGCCTGAAAATGTGAGTATTTACTATGAACTACATAGTAGCGATTTGACAGCTCTCTCTTTGGAAAAATGCATTTAAACAAAAGTGTTAAATAGTTTAAGTTTCAATTAATTGATTTGCTTCATGACAAATAGGAAACTTAATCTGATCTTCCAATACAAATATTAAATTGGAGTGAAACTGCTAAGAGGAGAGATGTACATTTGATAAAAAACATATTATGCTGAAAGTTAGAAGATTTCTATTCTAGTTGACACCTCAAAATAAAAGTAGAAGACAAATAGAGTGGTTATCAAAACTATTGATTAGGTAAGACTACTTATTTTGCCAAACTTTGAGTCTGAGGAGGAAGTCTGAAGATTTAGGGTCAAGCTATTTCTATTTAAGAGCTTCTCTAAGATCTTTTTTTATCTCTATCTCTAATTTATATTAATAAATTCCATGTGCGACCAACAGAACGTGATATCCATGTCCAAAAAATATAATAGTTACATGACCCCTTCATGCTTACAGAATTTGTAGGTCTACTAAAAAAAAAAAGACCATAACTTGATCTTATCTGAAGATCTGGATTGTCCACAGCAATTAGTGCTAAATTTGACAGCTCCTAAAGTCCTCTTTCAAGTGCTTATTTGTTTCTTCACTTCTTTTCAGAGATTTTCCACTCCCTCATTTATGGAAAGCTGGAAGAGAGAAACAGTTTATGGAAATAATAATCTCCAATTCTTTTACCTGAATTTGAGCTCAGTCTGATTGGGAAGGAAAATGGCAGGTATCTTTATAGTTTTTTTGAGAGCTCAAGTCAAATCCAATTTTTCTCAAGCTGCAAGTTTAGACAGTAAGGAACTATTTACAGTCAGACAGTTCCCCTCTGTCACTGTAAGATAACTTTCTCTCATTCCAGCAGAGTAGCTTGTAACATTTCTGATTATTGGAACTTTCTACTGCAGATGGAAAAGCCAATATCTGGAAAAGAATGAAAGCTGGTGCTGCCTATTATTAGATTGATCTCTCACACTCAATACTTTGAGCACACTGGCAATGTTCTCTTTTCACAGTTTTGATACACCACATATATATATTTCTCTGCATTTAGTGGGTTGAGATCCAAAATTTCAGAGCTAAAAGAAGAGTGAAAAGAGGGAAAATTTTAAAGCTATTTATAT